GGAGGAGGGAATGTTATATAGAGATGCAATTATTGCAATGCAATTTACAATAGTTCTTACTATATAGTTAAATGAATATGGTGTAGCAATTTGTTTAGAAGTGTCAAATGAATGTATTGAAAAAATGAAACAAGTTGAGAGAATGACTATTGAGAAAGCTAAACCTGTGTAAGTGCCTTTACCTACCGTAACAACAAGTTTGAATTCACTTGTGGATGGGAGCAAGAGAAGAAGAGAAGGAACATTGAAAAAGGCATTTACTAATGAGGCTAGAGATCACTTGACTTGTGAAATTGATAAAATGTTTTATTTAGCCAGTTTGCCATTCAATATTGCTCATAATCCATATTTTGTTAGTTCCTATACATTTGCTGCTAACACTCAAATCTCAGGTTTTCTTCAACTGGGTTACAATGCTATAAGAACTTCACTCTTGCAAAAGGAAAAGGCCAACATAGTAAAGTTACTCCAACCTATCAAAGACACTTGGCCAGAAAAATGTGTGAGCATAGTTAGTAATGATTGGACTGATGCATAGAGAACACCACTAATTAACTTCATGGCAGCATGTGATTTCAGCCTTATGTTTTTGAAAGCTATTGATAGATCCGGTGAATACAAGGACAAGAACTATATAGCAAACCTCATTCTATCTACCATTGATGAAGTTAGAGCACAAAATGTTGTCTAAATAATCACAAATAATGCACTAGTTTGCAAAGCTGCTGGATTTATTGTGGAATCTGTGCATCCTCACATTTTTTGGACACCTTGTGTTGTGCACACACTAAATCTTGCACTCAAAGGTATTTGTTCTCCATTATCATGCTTAAAAGGTTGAGAACCCTTAAGCTTGGTCTTCAATCTATGGTGATTAATGAGCAATGGTCTCATTATAAAGAAGATGATGTCCCAAGAGCCACCTTTGTGAAAGAAACAATTCTAAATGACAGTTTTTGGGATAAAATTGATTATATCTTGAGCTTCACGAATCCTATATACGAGATGCTCCATTCTTGTGATATCGATGAACTAACTCTTCATTTGGTTTATGAAAAATGGGATTCCATGATCAACCTAGTGAAATATGCAATATATCAACATGAGGGCAAGGAGTTAAATGAAGATTCATCCTTTTATAAAGTGATGTATAGCATTTTGATTGATAGGTGGACTAAAAGTAACACACAACTTCATATCTTGGCTCATTTACTAAATCCTAGGTAAAGTTAATTAATTTGCAAGTTTCAATTTATTTTACTTGTTGGGTTATAGTGAACTAACTGTAAGTTATTAATAGATTAATAGGCAATGGCTTGACGAAGCACCAAATCAAGTATCTCCACATAGGGGCAATGAGATTTGTATAGGGAGAAACAAATGTTTGAGAAGCTACTTTTTGTATCCAAAGGAAAGATTAGAGCTAACGTAGGAATTTGTTAAATTCTCAAGTGGTGGAGAAGAGATTGGCCAATTTGATTATTTACAAGATAGGTGGAACTTGAAGCCAAAAGAATGGTGAGTTATATATGGTGCTGCACTTCCACTACTAGAAAACCTGCAAATATAGACAGATTTTTTTATTTTTACAGACGAATTTTAGTATTACAGACGAATTTATAGATGGTTATAGTCTGTCTGTAATATGTGCGTCAGTAAATAATTACAGACAAATCTTTAAATCTATCTGTAATTCATTTATGAAATTTCAAAAAAATTGTTTCATTTTTTTATAAATATAATTATTCCTCCCTGTTCCTAATTATCACAATTTATAAACATAATAAAAACTACAAAATTATATATTTAAATAAGAAATTATTTATAGAATGTAAAATTAAAATGTCATTTCAAATGAAGAAGTAAACATCTAAAAAAATATCAAAAATAAAATAACATTGCATATCACTAATAATCGGTGTGATCATCTTTCGAAAAAGTATCGTCATTAGTAGAGGAGGAGTCAGAGAAGGAATGACGTATGAAGTTGAAGATTGGTGGTGTTGGAGCTGGTGGAGGAGGAGGAAGAGGTGTAGAGGTGTAGAGGTGCTTGCTCTCATGACCTCAAAGTATACATGCATCTGCATATGTTGCTGTTGCATCTGTTACTGGACCTCCCTCTACATCCTCAATGCCAACTTCTTCTCTATTTTCTTCGCCCACTTCTTCTTCTATGCACTTTCCTTGGTCTTCCACATCTCCTCATTTTTCTTCTGCAATTCTTTATTTAGGGCATGGACCTGAATGCGGACCATGTCGTCCACTTCCTCAGGTACAAGAGAAGAGGCATCTCTGGTGACAGATGCAGGGACATAGAGTCTGCAAAGCGGCTCCCCATGCCATAAATGTGACCTTTAGAAAGGTCACCCACCGTCTCTGACCATATAGTATCCTCATCAACTGACTCTGGATCCTGAGAAGATGCCTCCTCAAGCCTTTGAACATAGTCATCCTATAGTTCAATTCAGATAATTATATATTAGTCTCAAAAATTATTTAATAAATCATTAATAATAACATATAGTGTCAATAAGGATAACTTACATATGTGGCCTGAGATCGTGTATCAACCCACAAGGTTTTGTCTCCCTTGCGAGTATGTGTCTCCTTGAACACCTCTTCATGTGTAGGTGGTCTCTTCAGTGACTTTTCCTGCAATTTTAATTAAATCACCATCTCAAATATCAATTATAGATTGAACAACAAATTTCTAAAAATTTTGGCAGAATCTCCCCTAATATATGAATATTTCCTTATATTTGTTTACACTTAATACAACAAATTTCTAATATAAATTTCGGCAGAATCTCCCCTGATATATGAATATTTGCTAACATTTGTTTACACTTAATACAACAAATTTTTAATGTAAATTTTGGCAGAATATCTCTTAATATATGAATATTTCCTTACATTTGTTTACACGTACTTAATATAAAAATCTAAATTTCCTTTACACATAATCTATATATTATGTAACAATCTATTAATCAATGCATCAAAAACATACACATTACAATCCTAAACCATTCTAGAGCATATTCCCTTATAACTCCATAACATGCATATTCTACAAACTTCGCAAACACAAACAATCCCACAGTACACAATAATCAGGATCGGAGAAGGACCTCTACGCCCTTCCCCCAGTCATACAATCTCCAATCCTACAATTCTATATTAGAAATTTTAAGTCTCTAAAATACATCAAAAAATAAAAAAACTAAACCGATTAAAAGTTAAGTTTCGTACCAAGAACACAATGAAGTAAATTATCTTTCAAATGGATGCTTCAATCACTCGCAAAGGCAAAAAAACTGAAGCATCTAGAGAGAGAGAGGCGAGAGAGAGAGAGGAAATTATGCAAAATGAGGAAGGAGGAGGAGGCGCGGATTTATGTGTTTCGCACATTACAGACGAAAAAATTTGTTTGTAAATGGTTTAATAAAACAGTGTGTTTTAAAAGTTTAATTACAGATGAATTTATCCGTCTACAAATTCATCAAATACAGTTATAGACAAAAAAAATCTGTCTATAGATTGCCAGCTGAAAAGTCGGTCAAAACGGCAATATTTACAGATGAAAATCCGTCTGTAACTCCTGCTCCAAATTTCTCTCCCATTTTCAAATTACAGATGGAAAAATTCGTCTGTAATTCCTGTCTATAATACTTCGCACCAAATGGCAGGCCAACTACAGACGGTCATTATCCGTCTGTAATATAGACAGATTTTTCAAAAAATTTAGAAAAAAATAAAAAAAAAACTAAAAAATCATTTGTAAATTCGTCTGTATTACAGATAGATAAAAATGTGTCTGTAATGGTCGCCTGTAAATAGCGCTTTCTAGTAGTGTTCCTAAACTTCAAACCATTGCCTTAAAGATCCTTTCGCAACCATCCTCTTCTTGTTGTGAGCGAAATTGGAGCACTTATTCTTTCATTCATTCTATGAAAAGAAATAGGCTCAACCCTAAATACAAATCTTCAATTGCTCTCAAGAAAGAGTAAGAATTATTATTATGGTGAGACTAAAATATGGGACACTGTGGTGATGAGTGGGATCCATTTGCAGGGGCTGATTTTCTGGAAGTTGCTACTCTTTCTCTTGATGAACCAGATTTGGAGACAATGCTTTTTACTGATGAAGGAGAAGGGAATTATGAGATTAACACTATTAGAGTGTGAATGCTTAGCCTTTTTGTTGTTGATTGTAAAACAATTTATAAATTTGTATTTTTGTTGAAATCTTATTTGTTGAACAATGTGATTCAATTTATGTTATATCATTTTTAATTTATTATTAGACAATTTTATGTTATTTAATTAATTTCATGTTAAATTTTATTTATTTTTTTGTTATATATAGATGTACTTATACTTTATTTTTTGAAAAATTAGCATACTCTCATACTTGTATCCAGTACCGGTACCGTATGTACCCGTATCCATGCAATGTAGATGAAAAAAAATATTTGTAAGATTAAAAAAGAGAAAGAAAAGTTTAAAATATTATCTAAAGTTGGTAATTTGAAGCTTCGTTTTTTAAGAAAAAACTACTAAAGTTTTCGAGATTATTTAGAATTCTATTTGAACAAGTTTCTTCTTTCATAGAGAAGTTCCAAAAATCTTAAACCAAGCGTTGCCTAATTCAAATTGTGGACCTATGTATCATCTCTAGTCTCATGAATGCAGATTTTCCTTTTATAGATTGACGATTTACATAAAATTGTTTTAACACATGAAGAATTTACATAGACAATTTTACAGCCTATTGAGACCAATTGCTATTGTCACTAATCACATGTGCCAAATTGCCAATTTGAAACCATTTTCATCTAAGAGATTCACCATACTGGGGATATTCTATGTAAACTAGATACTGTGGAGGGCTTTGCTTTTGACTATATTTGAGACCTTATGTTTGACACTTGAATGTAAAAAGACAAGAGAGTTAAGCCATTGATCATCATATAAATATGTCTCTCTATTCAATGAAAACTATCCGGCGTTCTGCACTTCAGTTCCCCTGTTCTTGAGAGAAAGTCTGGCAAATGAGGAATCAAGTTCTTGACTCTTAGACCGAGGCCTACCATAATGCTTTTGTTTCTGTTGGTGTTGTTGCTGCTGATGATGATAAAGATTTCGAAGCCTTGTGATTTCTTTCTCCAGCATTTCTTGCTCCACTGTGCCATTCACCATTTGTAAAGCACGAATACCATACAATCAAAAGAGAACATGTAGATCTAATTAAGCCCTCTATATAAATCAAGATAAAAATAAGAACAAAACTTATGTATAAATTGCAAGTGATAATTTGTTTGTCTACTTGAATTAAGTCGTAAGAGTAAATACATGAGAATTGAATGAATTTTGGCACTTACAACATTTGATGAACTGCTCTTGGGATATACTGTCTAACCGTTGTTTGAGGGCCCTGTTCTCCATACCTAATATGAGATTTTGCTGATCAAGAAATTCTAGTTCTGTTGAAACTTCATATCCTTCTACCTGTAAAGGAAATAGCAGCATAATGTGTAGTAGTCTATCACTTTACTTTACGTACGAGATAAAAATTCCTACATTTTTGCAATATTACCTGCAAAGCTTGGATACTTCTTTCTAGTTCAGCAATGTATTGAACTTTCCTAGCTCGGTTTTGTTGAGCCGAATGCCTGTATTACACCATGAAGTATTAGATGCAACAATTACTCAGAATAATTGACTAGTATATATCTTCTACATCTATTTTATTATTATCTGTCTAAATCACTTATCTTTGGTATAATTTAAATAACGCTCGTAGTTGTAGTAGTAATGTGTAAATATTATCGAAGGAAGTATTCTACCTATTTCCAAGCAGGTGCTACACTATCCACTTCTGTGTTTTCTGAAAGAGAAATTGTATTTAGTGTTAATTAGATATTTTTATGTATTTTAAAAGTTTATTGGAGTTAAATTTATTTTTATTTTATTTTATTATATATTTTATTTTAAGCATGTTGAAATAAAATTGTAGGAGATATTTTGACTTAAAAAATATCTATCTCCGATAACAAATCCCTTATTCTTTTGTTGCTCCATCTTTTTCTCCATAGTGATCTTTCATTTTCTTAAGTTATTTCTACTCTTTTTTTTCTTCGATCATTGAGTTAATAATAATCTCTTTTTCAAGTTTGAGATCTTGAATTTATCATAAAAGAGTTAAATCTTAAGGGATCGCGGCACACGATAAATAAGAAAACATCTTACGCTTACTTTTGTAATTGCAAAGCATGTACAATTATTATACATACTATTTTGTACAACAAAATTGCGATTAGATAAAAGAGGAAAGTGTGAAATCATATAATTGATGTGATAGACAGAGATAGGGAAAAAATAGTTTAATTTATAGAAAATATTGTAAAAAATTGAAATATAAACAGGTTGCATTTATTTAAACCACTAAAAACTGGTACCTTATGAGACACCATATAAAAGATCAAGGAAAAGGAAAAATGTTTTCGATAAGATAGAAAAATTGTCCAGAAGCAGAAGCATTAGAGATATAGAGAACCAACAAAGAATAGAAACATAATTAAATTCCATAAGGTGGAGAGGGTTAAGAGCACAACATACCGTTTGGCACGTTTTGAATCTGTTTTGGTTGGTGATGGATTAGGATATAAGCTACGATGTTGGACAAAGGAGCCTTCTGGGTCTGCTACATTTTGTTTTTCTATAATGTGTGTTTGTGGGGTATCAGCCTCTTGCGATGTGACTGAACTTGGAAATGTGACACAAGTGTTAGTCAATTTGTTTTCCCTTTCAGTAGTTTTTTCTACTTGTAAGTATGCTATGGAGTCACTTGATGATCTTCGGTGACTCCTGCATTGAGGTGTCTCTGGCTCATCAAGGAGTTCTTTCAACCAACCAGGCACTTCCTCGGTTAGCATGCTATCAGAATATGTGCGTTGGTGGCGTCGAAGTCCCTCTTTGGGCTCAGATAATCCTTCATGTTCAACAACTGAATGGGAGAAACATTCACCCTCAGATGCACTTTTAGGGGGCAATAGAAGTGGCATTCCTGTGGGTTGAGAGTTTCTCAAGTTTGATAAACCATTACAAGTTTCCATCTGTCTGTTAGGTATATCACCCTGCACTACATTAATGTGCATAAATAAGAACATTAAGATTCTGGGGAAAAAAAAGAAATAAACATTTTTTAGTTTAATCACAGATATCAAATGCCATTGGAATCCTTTTGTTATGAATGAGAAATTATGATATGGTCAGAAACCAATACGTGTTCATGGCTTGAGTTAGGGTACACATTACTCATTTACCTCTAAATTATTTAAGTTCGACTCGAAATCCATGCACTACGTATTTAATTTTAATTTTTAAGAGTTGTATTTTAAATAAGAAATCTTAACTTTTTTTTGTTTAAAGAAATATGCTACACACACAAGTGACAATAAAATACACACATTTAGTTATAATTTTTAAGTGTAGTTTAAACAAGTGACCGTAACTTTTTTTAAAAGAAATATGTTATTTTTATAATATTTTTTATTTTATTTTTAATCTTTATTTAAATAAAGTTATATGTTATTACTGTTATATTTTATATTTTTTAATAAAAATATTCACTTACACTTAATTTAAACATTTCATTTAACTTAAATCTAATGATCATTAAAATAATAAATTACAACTCGTTAAATTTAAATTTAATAAAAGGCTTAAATTGAGTGTAAAAGTTTTAAAATTCTGTTTATATATATATTCAAAAACTGAACTTAAATTAGTACTTGACTGGATTCCACTTCTGTACTTCCCGAGTTCCCAAATCAGCAATAATTTCTTGCCATACACAAATATAAATGTAGAAATATGATGAGAAATAATTAAATGTTTAAAAAGGAAAATATATCTGATCTAACCTTTTCTTATGCAATCAGATCTGAAGGAGTTGCCAACAAAACTAGAGTTGCCTTTGCTGGGAACTGAAAAATAGAAATCAACGTTAACTAGTTTCTGAATGCATAATTTAAATATTTTCAAAGTTGTTCCTTAACATGAATATATGATAGACAGAACAAAGAATGAAGTAAAGATACCAGAGAGAAAGGGGCCTGATGAGCATAACCCGGTCTAGCTGGTTGTTATATGACCGGCGACCCTTCTTTACCATTCTACAATACAATACTGTTTTCTTGAAAAGAAAAAGGAACCATTTTCTTGTCTGTGGAGAGGTAGAGAATGAGTCCGAGACAACCTCAGGAACAGCGCGCTTTGCGTAACGACTTGTTTAAAAAAGTAAAATGCCATGTTAAACTCAGCTTTTTTAAGATGTTTCTTCACTTAATTATAAAAATTTACAAGTATCGTTATCCTATTATCATGCACGGATAACTAATAGGATCATAAATATTTTCAAAATTTAGTTTCATTTATAAATATTTATATAAAGCTCAAATGAATTATTATTATTATTTTTATAATAATCGGCGTAAACAGATAAACTAAGGATTATGAAATAAAATCAAGGATAAAATGAAAACAAAAGAACTTTCAGTTAAGGGATAAAAGGTTGGAACGGTACTTGTGCAACAGTGTTTCAAAAATCTCTGCCACCTATAAAAAAAGTTACTTTATACTTTTGTTTTTAGCCCCTAAGATACAGATAAATAAATAGTGTTACGTAGAACTTTCAAAGTTTTGATGTATATAAATTAAATGTAAATAGATATTAAGTGAAGTAAGTTAAAGTGGATCCTTCTTATAAATTTTTTTAAGAGTAAAATATACTTCAGGTAAATTTAAAATAAGCTTTTCTATTAAAAATTAATATAAAAATAAATAAAATATTTTTTATTTTTTAAAAATAATTTATAATATATTTTTAAAAATTTTAAAAAGTTAAATAAAGAAGTTTTAAAAAATAAAATATATAATTTGATTTTAACTTATAAAATAAGTTTATTTTATTTTAATACGTAATTTTTAACTTATATAAAAGTTACCAACAGATTTAACTCAAGTTGTTCACTTAGATAAGTTAGTCTACTACTGAAGATTTTTTATATAAATAAAAATTTAAATCTGAAACTTTACTTAAGTGATATCAAATAGTTTATCATTGAAACTAACCTTTGTTCATCTAAATAGTAAATTTTATTAGTTCAACAGTCAACTCATGTATCTTCATGATCATGCACATTAAATTTGAGGCATATTAAATATTTATATGTAATTTTATTATTAATATTTATTTATATTTTAAAAATTATATTATACATTAAAATAAATTTATTTAACAAAGTATTTAATGATTTTAAAATTTTATAAATTTGAATACATACATATACACATTTAATCATATTAGACTATTTTTAATATATTTATTTTGAATATCTAAAAATTTTAGAAAAACAATTATGGTAAAATTAATAATTTTTATTGTATTTTCAAATCACTACTCTTTCAACTGAATTTGAAAGAATAATTTGTTTTAAAATTAGATTGATTGTTGACAATTTTTAGGACAGACAATATTATAGCCAGTTTTTTTAAAAAAAATTACTACCTTTAATTAAATTTTAAATTAAAAATATAAAGTAAATTAAAAAATTATTATTAAATTATAAGTAATTTTGAAAATATATAATATAAAATATATTATTATATTATTTACAATGAATTTATTTTCAACCAACAAACTAATTTAAGAGCGTTCTAAAATTAAATTTTAGATCAATCATCTCTGAGTTCTAAAGTGTATTCTTAATGTAATGTTAAATTAATGTCGTAATATAGACAAAAGAAAACAAAAAGAATAGAAGAAAATTACAAAATAATATTAAAGTAAAGCAGTAAAAAGTTAAAGAAAAACAACTAGAATTAAATTGAATTGCAAAATATAAAGATACAACTTCAACAACAATTAACACAAAAAACCGTTGATCTAATGATAGTTGGATATTTAACCCGTGTAGAACTTTGACGTGAAATTTGAGTGCTAGTGTTTACGTGAAAAGTCATAATCCTTAAAACATAAAATAAAATTCTATTTATAGATATTTTGTCCTAACTGTCTTCTATACGTTAACTTGTATTAAAACTATATACAACACGTTCTTTGTAATTACTACTAGTTCACGATCTTTGCCAAGTATCTTGATTTTTAACTGATAGTAATTGTGGGTGACTGCTCCAAACTTATTTAGATATGGTTTTCTTGTATCTTAAAACACTTTAGTCTTGGACTTAACTCTCATCAAACTAGTTTAATCTTTCTTTGAAGTGAAATAACTTTCGATAAGTTTTCAATAAAATATGTTAAAATACACACTACGCTAGAATAAAGATCTGAGAGCAGTTTTATTTTAAATTAGAGAGCATTTAGAATTGCTCTAAAATTCTGCGCTATTTAATGTATTATATTTAAGAGAGTGGTTAAACAACCGCTCTCAAAAATTAAGTTGTGGAATCGCTATCCAAAATATAGGTGTAAGATTAGAGAGCAGTTCTACGTGAAACCGCTCTCCAAAGTATAAATATAATCGCAAATCTAAAATTTAAAATTGATTTCTTTTTTAGTTTTCGATCTGTTGTAAAGTAAAATTAATTTATTATTATGTTTAAATCAAAATTTAGAATTGATTTCTTTGTGAGTTTTTTTCATTTTTTTATCACAAATCAAAATTGAATCTTGAGTTTATACATTTGGTGTTAACAAAAAACAATCCATATCTGCATGAACCAAACAGAAAAAAAAAAAAAAAAAAAGAAATTAGTAGATGATTTTTAACGTTAATAGAGAGAGAAAAAGAAAAAAAAAAGAATGGATGATTCACCGTTAACAAAGAGAAGAAGAAAGAAAGAGAGAATGAAAAAGTACCTACAAATGTGGAAAAAAAAATTTGTTAGCGCAGAAATATGAAGAGAACAACAAAGAATGAAGAGGTAACTATAGATATGAAAAAAGAAAATTGTTAGCGCAGAAAAGATGAAGAGAGAAGGATGAAGAAGTACCTACAGATGTGGAAAAAAAAAACCAATTTGTTAGTGAGAGAAGACAAAGAGAGCAGGTTAACAGAAAAGATGAAAAGAACATAATAGAACAGAGAAGACGAACAGAACTTAGAGTAAAAGAGACCAACTTTGTTAGCTAAGAAGAAGAAATGTGTTGAGCGTGTTTCATTTATAAACGACTTTAATGACTTTAGAGAGTAGTTCTTTATTTACCGCTCTCCAAGAATGACTTTAGAGAGTGGTTCTCTGTTAACTGCTCTCTGATAGCTCTCAGAAGTATAGATCTGAGAACAGAGAACCGCTCTCTAAATGTATAATTATAAAACAGATTTTACTAATGGCTATCTAAGTTAGTGCTTCAAAAACTTATTTCTGGCATAGTAACATCTTTTTAACTAATTTTAGCACTGTTGAGTTATATTATAAAACTTGTCAAGCATCTTTAAAATGTTGTATTTTTTACTCAAAAAGTCAAATTTCTAATCATCTTTATTAAAACTTGTCAAAAATTATCTTTTCAACTTAAACTAAATATTTCTTTGGTTCTCTTATCTTTCATAAAAATTTGTCTCAAAAAAAAGAATCTCATAACCATATCAATTTCAGTCGAAGTATGTATCTTGATTTATATAAGTAAAAGTATCAAACCTCATTTTTTGAGAAAAATCATGTTTTAACCATAAAAAGTTTCTCTGTTTAAAGATGATGTTATTATATTTTAGGAAATTTTTACTTTTCTCCCAAAGAGATATATTAATTAATATTTTTAAAATTAGACTAGACATCTCGTTGTACTCAAATAGATAAAAATAATAAATAATATGTAAATTAGTTTGTGTTAAATATGAAAGGTACAACGACGATAGTAAATGAAGACTGTTAAGCTATTGTTTGTCAATATTTATTTATTATAGTAAATGTAAGGATAGGGCATTACTTGACGAAAAAGGTGTCATAGATAAATAGTATGAAACACAGGACAACAACGACACTGAATGAAGAGTGTTAAGCTATTATTTGTCAATATTTACTATAATAAATGCAAGAATAGGGCATTACTTGACGTTAAAGGTGTTCATAGATTAATAGTATGAAA